GAGTGCTTAGATGCTGCAAGAATTCTAGTATCTACTAAGTCCAAATCGGTGTTAAATGAAGAATTTGTTCTCAAGGTGAAGAATAGTATATTTCACATTACACTGGTTGAGGAAAACTGGAGAACTGATCCCTGGTGGCTGAAAAAAGTTGAAAGTTCTAATAGGGAGTCAGATGCATGTTCATCGGCGTTCAACTTCAATGACGAGTCCAGCGAGGTCGATGGGGACTATTCCAACGGTCCAGAAGAAGATGAGATTCAAACACCCTTCAGAGATGTCAACAACATTAATTGTTCTGACAAATTGTGCGTCTCAAAGACTTTTGTTGAGGTGTGCAAGGCAAATAGGGGTGCTCAGTCTAATCATGACTGTGGAAAACAGAGTGAGGCACATGGAGGCAGTCAGACAAGTGGAGGTCATACTAGCGAGAGTAGAGTCCCTGCTTTAGACAATTGGATAGCCCAAGTAGCAGCCCAATCTGGAAGCCCAATTGGTAGTGAAAGAAAAACCCATTTAGCTAGTAACAAAAAGGAGATGGACCAGGAGGAATGTGGGATTCAAGTGAATGCAAGCGGGCCTCAAGTGAATGTAAGCCCCAATAAAAGCCTTAATACACCACGAGAAGTGAGGATGGACTCAATGAAGCTAGTAACTGGAACGAAACGAGGAAGAAGAAGAAAAGTACTAAATCAGCCGGCCAACTTCAACGGCAAAGCATCAAAAGGCTCATTGTCAGACAGCGATATCGTCTGCAACAACAAAAGAATTAAGGAAGGTTTGATTTTAGATGAAGCAAAAAAGATGCTGGAATTTGGGAGCAAGTTAGGGATTGAGACCAGAAATAGAGAAGACCAGATTCTGGAAAGTTTCAGACAGATGGAAGAACGGGATAGGCAGGGGAGTGCGCGTCAGGCATAATGACAGGTACTTCTGTTTCAGATTCCAAAAAATTTTATCAATGAAACTACTTTCTTATAATGTGAGGGGGTTCGGAAACTCAATTAAAAGAAAAGAAGTGAGAAGATTGGTGAGAAAGGAGGAAGTTAATTTTGCTTGTTTTCAGGAAACTAAAATGGAAATGTTTGATAAGGAAACTTGTTTGTCTATTTGGGGGCGCGAAAATTGTGATTGGGTATACAAGGCCTCATTGGGTAGATCAGGGGGTTTACTGTGCATTTGGGACATTGACATTTTCGAAAAAGAAATAGTTGTTGAGATACCAGGTGCCTTAGCAATTTATGGCTTGTGGGGTGAAAAGAAGCAAAAGTGTTGTATTGTGAATGTATATGCTTCATGTAATAGAAATGAAAGGGAGGAAACATGGGCAAAGTTATTGAGAATGATAGAGGAAGAGGAAGGCTACTGGTGCATTGCTGGGGATTTTAACAGTGTAAGATCAGCAGAGGAGAGAAGAGGAAGATCTGAGTATTCACGCAACAGGGAGGACCTTAATGGCTTCATCGAAACTGCAGGGTTGGTTGACTTGCCATTAACAAGGAGGAGGTTCACTTGGTATAAGGGTGATGGATCAGCTATGAGCAGGTTGGATAGATTTTTATTATCTGATAATTTGCTTAATTTTTGGGGTGATTGCTGCCAAATTGGATTAAATAGATCTATATCAGACCATTGCCCTGTCATTTTGAAAAAGGTTAACAGTGATTGGGGCCCAAAGCCTTTTAGGGTCTTAAACTGTTGGGATCAACACCCAGACTTCATCAGGGTGGTAGAGGAAAACTGGAATTCTACTAAGGTTGAGGGATGGAAAGGATTTGTGTGCAAAGAAAAGTTTAAACAGTTGAGGAATAACCTAAAGAAATGGAATCATGAAGTCTTTGGGAATTTTGAAAAACAAATTGCTGAGGCAGAAGCTAAAATCAAATCAAAGAGGTAGACAGTAAGAACGAGGACATCGAAATATCAGAGGAGGACATTTTGATGAGAAAGGAGGGATTCAATGAATTATGGGAAGCATGGAAGAGGAGAGAAGTGGCATGGAAACAAAAGACGAAACTTGACTGGGTCCAGCAAGGAGATGCTAACTCCAAGTTATTCCATAGAATAGCTAGTAGCAACAGATTGAGAAAATTGATCCGGGGCATCCATAAAGACAACTCTTGGGTTGAGGAACCCAGTTCAGTGAAAAAAGAGGTGCGCCAATACTTCCAAAAAATCTTTCAAGAAGAGCAGTGGGATAGGCCTAAGCTCGACGGATTACAGTTTAAACAGCTAGATGACGAGGATAGAGCCTGGTTGGAAAGGGATGTATCTGTAGAAGAAGTGAAACAAGCTGTTTGGGAATGTGGAGGGGATAAATCTCCGGGTCCTGACGGGTTCAGCTTTCATCTAATCAGAACTTGTTGGAGAGTGATTGAGAAAGACATTGTTGACTTTGTGCAGGAGTTTTCAAAAAATGGTAAGCTGGTCAAGGGGCTAAACTCTTCATTTATTGTTCTGGTCCCAAAGAAATCTAATCCTGTAGAATTAAAAGACTATAGACCTATCAGCTTGATTAGTAGCCTCTACAAAATTATATCAAAGGTCTTGGCAAACAGGATTAAGAAAGTTTTGCCCAAGGTGATAAGCGAAACACAATCTGCCTTTTTGGGAGGAAGACAAATAACTGATGGTATTTTGATATTGAACGAGGTAGCAGAGGAGATAAGGAGGAAAAAGGCTAGTAGTTTCATGTTTAAAGAAGATTTTGAGAAGGCATATGACTGTGTGAATTGGGGATTTCTAGATGAAATGATGATGAGGCTCGACTTTGGAGAAAAATGGAGAAAGTGAATAAGGGAGTGTTTGCAAACAGCTTCAATCTCAATTCTTGTTAATGGAAGCCCAACAGATGAATTCAAAATGGAGAGGGGAATTAGACAAGGCGACCCAATTGCTCCATTTCTCTTCCTAATTGTCGCTGAAGGATTGAATATTTTGATAGAATCAGCCACTAGAAAGGGATTATTTCAAGGAATTGATGTAGGCCCCCATGGTCTTAACATTTCACACCTCCAATTTGCTGACGACACTGTAATTATGGGGAAGGCAAATACATCTAATATTAATGTTGTGAAAGGGATTTTGAGATGGTTTGAACTGATTTCGGGTCTAAAGATAAACTTCAACAAAAGTGTGTTGTATTCATTTTATGCCCCCGATGAATGGAGAAGAACAGCGGCTGCTATGCTGAATTGCAAATCAGGATCTCTCCCTTTCACCTATCTTGGGATGCCAATTGGGGATGTTATGTGCAGAAGGAAAGCCTGGGTTCCAGTTATTGAGAATTTTAATAGAAAGCTGGCAGTCTGGAAAGCGAAGTGCCTATCGATCGGTGGTCGAGTTACGTTGCTAAGGTCTGTACTCTCTGCCATCCCTATTTACTTTATGTCTATTTTTAAAATTCCCAAAATTGTATTACATGAATTAGTGCAATTACAAAGGAAATTTTTGTGGGGATATACGGGGGAGAAGAGTAAGATAGCATGGTTGAGTTGGGAGAAAGTATGTCGAGGTAGAAGTGAGGGAGGTCTAGGTGTGCCAGATATTGAGAATAGGAATATAGCCTTATTAGGGAAGTGGTGGGACAGATTTGGGAAGGAAGAAAATAGTCTATGGAAGAAAGTTATTGTTGATAAGTATTATGGTGGTGGCATGGAGTGGGATATTGAACATACTGAAGCTAGGAATGTTTCTACTTTGTGGAGAAATATAGTGGCACTAGGCACAGAGGGGGGGTAAAGGGTCCTGGGTGTTTAGAAATGGGTTCTGCTGGAAGTTGGGAATGGGAGACAAAATTAAATTCTGGAGGGACAAGTGGGTAGGAACTGAACCTCTTAGTGTAACATTTCCTAGACTCTTCAATTTGGCACCTAATAGGAATGTAACTATTATGGAAATGGGACACTACTCTAATGGATCCCGGAGTTTGGAACATAGTTGGAGACGTGAACCATTTGGCAGGGAAAGGGATGAAGAACAAAGGTTAAATCAGATCCTCTTGGGGGAGGTAGTGCAATCCTCTCAACCGGACCGAAGAAGCTGGAGCTTTGATACTGGAAATGGATATACAATTGGTAAGGCCTACTTGTTGATCACTAGTAAGAATGGAATTTTAGAACCACATATCTGCAAAAGGCTATGGGGCAGATTAATCCCATCAAAGATCAGCTGCTTTGGATGGCGCCTCCTCCTTAATGGCCTCCCAACAAAATCAGGCCTTATAAAAAGGGGTATCCA